AAGAAATGTCATGTACTCAACCAGTATTGATAAGGTCACGTAGTATGCAACAGCGCACGCTTTAAAAGACAGAACATGGAATTCGATATTAGAAGGGATCAAAATGAGAATTCAATATTTTCCGAATCCGGTCCTGTGCTTAGTTTCTTAACGGAGTAATCATGCGATATTATTCGAACGCATGGTTGCTACCAAACGGAAGATCATCTTGTTTGTCTGGAAAAGTCCCTTTTGGCTTCGGTAGCTCTCAACTCTACAAAAGTGTGCTTGTACACTTCTATTTGGGCTAATAAGTGAACAACACGTTCGAAATGTACCTTGTTAAAATATTAAATTTATTTGATTATAAATAGAATAAAAAATTAATAAAATATAAAAACAATTATTGAGCATAACAAGCATCTTTCTACATCAGGAAATATCAATACTAATCAAATATATAAAACACATTCTTCGTCCAGAAAACACCTAAGTCAAGCGAAGTAAATCATTACATGCGAAACGTATCGCCCAACTACTGTAGCGAAAAACGTTGCTACACAAACATTGCGTAACATATAAGCACTTAAATTAAATATTAAAATTGTATAGATGTTATATTATCCAGGTAAGATTAATCTCTTAATCCCCCTTGGATATACCACAGATAGGTTGTGACTCGAAAATTCAAAACTAGTCAGTCATGATATTTTATTACGTAAGTAGTATCATCAGATGACAATCCGCCAATCGTTCGTCAACACCCAACTAGCTTTAAAAATATTTTTATGCAGAAAACTTGAACTTGAGTCCACGAAAATATTTGATGCTCCCAATATAATTACTAATAGCCCATCATTATTAGTGTTCTTATACCAACTATAGGATTTGTGTAAGGACTGCTCTATAGATCAATATATTTGCTTAATGCATACAGATGGCAAAGATTTTAATTTATTGCTATAACCCTAATGAATAATAGACTATATTTTTTGGCTGACTATAGAACCTACATTTAGCTAACGTTCTAGTGTCCCATCAGCTGTAAATCAAAAATAGAAGCCAAACTATTGTCGCTAAACCTTTTAGAGAAGTATGTTGCTAGCGGAATTAATAAAAGGTTATGATCAAACTTTCTTCACCACCGAGCATATCTATATTTTGTACACATTATTCCATATCTGCTATTGCCTAATCGTCAAAGAATCCTGCTTCACTTATTCTTAACTATCTCCACTAAAGCCAACCCAATGTACTATGTATCGTATAATTCACACAAAATATTTATATGTTAATAATTATTCAGGAAAATAGTTCTTTTGTGAAGCCAAAATATGTGTACATATATTATAATATATACTTTATTCCAACATAAGTTAAATGAATGAACTCTTATCAGTAAATTTATGCTGTTTCGAGATAACCCAATAAACTTTTTTATACTATGAAACTGAAATGAAATTCTTAGCATCACTTGTACTTTTAAAGATTTTTTTGAAGGAAACGAGTATGAGTGTATAAAATCTTCTTAGTTTTTTAGTACCTATGTACGTGTTTTTATATGCTTTTAGATTTTAAATATTTTCTTAAAATAAACGTTATTTTTTTTTGCATTAGCGATCAACTGTTTACGCAAATATTTACCGCCACATTCAGTTTTAATTGTGACTGACTTTGTTTATTTAACTCTTCAGTCTTTCGTACAATTTCGTAGATTATAAATGTAGCATTAGCCGATATCAGATACAAAAAAGTATCGCATCACTTCGTTCGTATCTCGAGTTGTTGTTGAGTGTATTAACTTTAGCCATTTAGACATATAGTCGTACTTTAATGTTTGCTTAAATGAAATTCAAACTTTTGCTTTTCAGTTGCTTATCGCACTCTGAAATACTAGCTTGTCTTGTACATAAGAGTTGTGTGAATATGTGCAAACACTGCATGTACTCGAAAGTACATAATAGAAATATATGGTATATATTTGTACAATAAACAAATAAAATATTAAAATGAATTCTACCCTTTAGAAACTCCCATGGAGAACAACCGTTTAAACAGAGAAACTATTTTTATAACTCACCCAATCTCATTCAAATCATATATAACATTACATAGGTAAGATTTATTTATAAGATTACAATGCTACCCTGCACTGCTTAAGAGCTCTTCAAAATGTTTAAATGTGTTTTAGATCCGATCAAGAAATACATAAGCGACAAAGCGCTGAAGCTATATGCGAAAATCGACAGGCTTTCTAATCGCAGGGTAATCACCAACCGCACGGGGCGGTACGCAGATCTTAGATCAGTCATTAAATAATCACGAAGCTTATAACGAATACACAAATTAGTCAATGAGATGGGTGGGACTCTGCAGAAACCTCCCAACTATAAAAGAGTAACAGTGCCCTGACGCACTAACTCGGAAAAGGCTCAAAATAAACATAGACTAATCTAAGTAGTTTACTCAACTAAGTAATGAAAATTGCCTTCAAAGCATTGTTAAAGAAAAAAATTATAATAATTTAATGATTTGACCGAATGGGCCAGGTTTATAATACTTGACTGAATGAGCCAGGTTTTGAATAAGCCAGCGTACTTGTCATTTTCAAAGTGAAATTCCAAGCCCTCGATCATATCAAATGTGCGTTCTTTTATACAGAATATGCCGGAGCTTTTTGGTGTAGTGCACCGGTATATTTGCCGTTGATATGCCTGCTGTATATTTTGTACCATTTGTGTTATTTTTTGTGCTTTTTGTGTACTTTGTCTAGTTTGTGTTTTCGCATGCTTTTGTTTTTCGCCGTGTTTCACGTTTTTGTTTACTTCGCGTGGTTCTTCGGATAGTGAATATTTAAATTCTTTGATTTAAAAAAAAAAAATATTTATAAAGAAAACTATAATAAAAAAAAAATGTTGCAAAATATAAGTGGGTAAATCTTAGTGTAATTGATTAAAAGAATTTTAGTGATTTTACATGAAGCCGGTGTATTATTGAAATTTGTTTTTTTCCTTGGTGGTTTGTTTATGTTTGTTAATAGAAAAATATAATTTATTAATGCAGTGATCTTTGTTTTTGTGTAAAATAAAGATAAACCAAAAAAAAATGTCAGAAGAAGTATTACTTGTGATATGTTTTGTTTGTCGTAAAAAAAAGTAAACAGTGAGTGTTTTAGTTGTTGGTTGTTTATATATATATTTTTTATCCATGTTTATTAAATAATTTTGTAAAAGCTCTAAGTTTATTTAGTAAATGTTCAACGTATGAGTATAATAAACGAGTATAATAAATAAATAAAATTTATGTTATTATCTTAAAACATTCTCAAGTTGTGTTTATGTTTTTTTTCTTTTTTCCTTTTCAGGTTTTTTTTTCCATTCTAGGTATTAATGCCCACGGCTCATCAGGCTAGAGGATAGCAGGTAATGTCCGTACAATTTGTGGCCAAAATAAATTTCATATTTTTCAGGTAATTTCTGTTCTTTACCGTAGCGTTTGTATGTGTATAGTGTCCAGTAATGTAGTGACAGTCAGATGATAGCTTTCGTTTATAATATGTGCGGTAGAAATTTGATATATAAATTTCTATCGTCACAATACTCAAAAATATAGACTACATTATATATGTAGACCAAATAGATAATATAGGTATATACAATACTATACAAATATAGACTCATCTCTTCATAATCTCATCGAATTATGCAGTACTTGCTAAATATCACCCTAACTGATTACACATACAGATAAGATTTAAATCTCTTCCAAGCCAACTGCTTAAAAATTGGCGAAACAATATAACTATTATTTATATGGCATTGACAGCTCCCAACTCTGGTTAACTACCAGGAAACCAACAAGATGACCTGAAATATGGTTTATTTGTTATGAAATTATTTACAACATTGTTCAAAAAGTTGATTCACTCAAACGGTAAAAACGCTTTAATCAGACTATCTTTGTTTGACTATAGCAACTCTGAAGTTTATATGCTTACATTTTACTTGATTGTTGCAACAATATCAAGACATCCTTACCATAGTTTATTTAAATCACATATTGCAGTAATCATTCATTTAGTAACTTCGGTCTCTAATGAATGAACTAAATAATATGAGTTTAACCTTCATATCAATAATGTAGATTGTAAATTATATGAACATAATTATAAATTATATACTAAAAATATACTAAAAAGATTAAAAATAATCTTTTATGGTAGTATATTTTCAATAACATATAAACATTAAACATCAAACATTAAATGAACTAGAAAAAATTAGGTTGGCAACCATAAAACAAGAGTATTTGAGTAAAAAATTATCTGCGTTTTGCGATCAGATCAGGCCGCAAACAAACCATAAAACTTAACTCCATGGGAAAGATACTTTGAGAGCAACAAACAAATTTAGTTGAGTCTTGGACGTCCTCGGAAGTGGTTTAGTTTTGCGGTGTTTATTGTGATACTATAGTTGGAGAAAACAAAAGCAAGAAAAAAGAAGTTCAGAGTAAAGTATTGTTGAGATATGTAAATCCTCAAAAATGAAAATAACTAAAGTGAAGTGAGCTATGTTGTCTCTATGTTCGGTTGGCAATCCACAGTACAAACGTTTGTTATTAAATATATATGAGAGGTTCTTGGCATTTAATGGGAATGCTGATATAATTATTAAAAATTTGATACTCAGCAAAATATCATATTTAAATTACATATGTAAAATATGTATAATTGAAAGCGAAGTGCAAGGAACTCAGTGAAGTTTATTAAAACAGAAAACAAAAAAGTATTTGAAAATTTCATTAAATTACAACATAAAATATGGAAATTCTTAGAAAGCGAATGACCAAGTATCCTTTTAGGGAATATTAAATTATTTTAAGAAGTTTATAATTTCTTAAAGTAATGTAATATACAGGGCCA